ATTTAGGGTTTGAATGTCACTCTCAGGAGTCTGTAGTGAGCGAGTCAAGACACCAGATTGACTATGCTCACTACTAAATGTTCCAGAATATCCCGCCGTCATTAAAATCAAAATAAATCCATGATTGAGTATTTTATTGAAGGAGAACGTTGGCATTACATAAAGAGCATGGCATTTAGAAAAATGGCAGCAACGCCAAGAGAACGTTGCGTGCAAGAAGTGGAAGAATTGTTTTTGGTACAGTTAAACAAAATGAGTACAATAATGTTTATTTTTCACAAATCGTATTTTCTTTGTAGAAGCGTTCCACTACAAGTCTTTGTAGGCTTTGTTATTCTGCTTGTTGATGAACAACTGTCAACTGTCCAGTTAGAATAGCGTTTCATCCAAATTAAATTGAACAGTACATTCATCGATTAAAAGGTTTATTTTATTAAAAATAAGAAGACTGCTGTTTACTTATGAACTACAATTCAGTTGACTTTCTGTACGTAGGAATATAAACCAAATGAGTAATGACATTTCTCATTATCCTTTCTCACTTTTTTCAAAAAAAATTATATTTTCTTTACACATTTGAAATCATCAATCAATCATTGTTAGACCAACATTAGAACGCTGGAAGCACAGGAAGGCCGTTTCGTCCTGGTATGGGATTCATCAGCACTGTGCATCCATGACTCCTGCACCTCACAAGATTCGAACCCAGGACCTTCGCGCACAATACTGAAAGTCCTGGGTTCGAATCCTGTGAGGTGCAGGAGTCGTGGATGCGCACTGCCACTGATGAGTAGTCCCATACCAGGACGAAACGGCCGTCTTTCAGTGCTTCCAGGTTTCTTCTAATGTTGGTCTAACAATGATTGATTGATTGATGATTTCAAAAATGTATAAAAACACAACACAAAACCTCCGAAATTCTACCCGAAAATATATTTTCTTTGTTTTATAATTTTATTTAGTAAAATTATTAATTGTTCCATACCGAAAACAATTGATCATCGTGCAATGAATCGACATTTCCCGTTGACTACATATCAAATGCATGAAAATATTACATTAGCATTAAATAGTGCAAGAGCTATTGGTTGTAATGTTGTAAATATTGGAGCTAGTGATATATGCAATGGTACTAAACATTTATTACTTGGTCTATTATGGCAAATTATTAAAGTAAGCAAGTGTTTTTGCAATTTAAAACAAAACTGATCTTTATGTTTGTTAAGGGTTTTGATGAATTTTTTTGCTGTTAAGTAGAGATCTATTTTGTAACGTGTATAATGAGTATAAAAAGAGTAAAAGTTTCATTTTGAATGAAAAAGATGATATAAAAACAATTATGATGAATTTAGAATAGTAGGATCTTAGGTAAGACACAGAGTGAATGCACCTGCTACTGTGTAAACGCTTTTGAGCTCTATCATTCAAACTCTCCAACTGTCAGTTATGATAATCGCTCAGCCTCCGGGTGGTTCGTCTAAACGTGTTAGAATAGCTCTGATGTCAATTTTGGTCTGACAGTTGACAGTTTTCTTTCAGCCTACCCCTATAATAGACAGCATCATCGGTCAGTGTAGGTGGTGGTTGAGCATACGTAACATATGTTCCGGATACTTCAATTGATGAAGAGTCAACACCAAATCAATTGATTTGTCTGCTTAACCTAATATCCTATGCCTAAGACAATATATTGCTGATCCGGTGGTTCTAAAATACACGAATAATGCTTCATAAACGTTCATAACTGAGTACAAGTAACCTGTAGATATCCTCTAATCATAATGTCCAGAAGTTGGAAGAAGTGCATTGAGGATAGCAATGAAACTCTTCAACTAGATGTACGTGCATATTACATTTCAAAATTGTACAAATTAAAATAGGTTTATATCAATTTTACAAGCTATTGTAGTGAACGAGAACACAGTTGGGGCAATCGGATTGTATTTAACGCAAATTACAGAGTTACCCAGTAAAATCGGAAAACCATATCGTAAATCGTTAATTTGCAAAATAACAGTCCATCATATCAAACTGGACTGTTCCTATTGCAAAACATCAATCCATTGTCACTACTATTCATGCGTTTCATGCAAATTCCATTGTTTTCTAACTCTTCTTTTCTTGATCTTCCCCCATCTTTTGCTGCCAGACATCACCTTGACATTCACGTCATATACTACTTATAAGTAGCTCACACCACACCATGATACAATATTGTTTTTAAAATTTTTATTTCTAATGTTAAACAGATTGGATTATTGAAACAAATAAACGTAGTTGCTCATGCTGAACTAGCTACTCTTCTTGAAGGCGAAGAAACAATTAATGATTTTGCTAAACTTTCACCAGAAGAAATTTTAATTCGATGGGTAAATTATCATTTAAAAGGAACAGATAGTGAAACACGTATGGAGAATTTCTCTTTTGATGTTCGAGTAAGTTAATTTACATTTTCGCTATTAACAGTATAATAGTTCCCCTCTTAATCAAAAAAGGTTGTTGTTGAGGCTATAAAGTGTTACAGAATATTCTGGAAATAATTGCAGTAATTTGTAAATTATAACTTATGTAAGCGCTTATGTTGGTACGTGACTGTTCGAACACCGTGTCAGCGAGATATCCGTTTGCTGATTAAAGGACGAGTGTACTGCGCAACAGTTCACTCCGTCTTACTTTATGTCTGTGAAACATGACCAGTGAGAGTAGAAGATATTCGTAGGTTACTGGTTTTCGATCACAGGTGTCTTTCAAGCATTGCTCATATATCCTGGGACACCACAGTCAGCAACGCTGTTATTAGGAATCGAGTGCTAGGTAAGAATGACAGATCAATAGATGAAGTGGTGAAACTTCATCAGTTGAGGCGGTTGAGACATGTGTTGAGTATGCCTAACCACCGACTGTCTCGAAGAGCTTTGTTTTGTAGTGTAGGAATAGGTTGGAAGAAAGTTAGGGGCGGCCAAACCAAAACATGGCAGAAATCCATGAAGTCATTGAGTGGACTTCGCTACGTCGGTAATTGTCGACTACCTGGTTGGGGTCCGCGAGATGATAATAATCGATGGTTAGAGACCTTGAATGACATGGCTCAAAATCGTTCGCAATGGCGCCGGTGCATTTATTCTCTGTGTTCTCTCAAATCCTAATCCTCTGGATTCTCCAACCCCTCTAGTTTTGACTTTCTAAACTTTTCTCATTTAATCATACTTCTTGAATAATATCTTCTAATCCTAACCTCTCCGATTATTTCTAATATATTGACTACCTCTTCTACTATTGGATTTGAATTGACAATTACATCACTGTGCTGATGTGGTATGGCGACATGAACTGATGTACTTACGTACGAAGTTCTACGTTGCAACTAACTGACTGACTGACTGAAACACCGTGTCGGATGTAGGCAGTAACTACCGAAGACGAACGGATAAGGTCTAGCAAAAATCCCTAGATTGATCAGAGTTAAGCATTTACACCATTGGATTCCGGCCCAGTGGTCCAGAGGTTAGGCGTTTGCGCACAAAACCGAAGGTCTTAGGTTTGAATCCTACGCTTATCAGAAGTCATAGATGCATACTGCTGATAAGTCTCATACCATCAAAAAACGACTGTCCAGTGCTTTCAGGTTTCTGATAATTGTCTGACAATGACTGATTCAAGATTTCAATGTGTTAAAATCTACAAATTGAAAATAGTCAACGTTTTAATCATTAAACTTATGATACTGTCAAATAAAACTGTCGGTATATTTTTAAACGCGTAAATTTCAAAAGTTTTAATTAATTCAACTTGAAATTATCAATTGTTATTTCACAAAAAACGATCGTTTCGTTTTTAACCAAAATAAAAAATTCATGAATCCAACAGGATTAAATCTATCGTGATCAACTACTAAGTTTGTTTTTGTTTAAAACTCTGTTCAGAAATGAATATTTTTAATAAAAAGTGAGAATTATTGATTAGGCTTTTCGTTAGGTATTAGAACAAACTAAGTGATTATTTATTCTAACTCCTGATTTTTGTTGTGTCATTGTTAGAGTATTAACTTAAGAATAATAATATTAATCGCTTTATTTTAGCACGGAATATTTCTGATCATAGAGTTAAAGAGAGATTGTTATCTTTCTTTAAAATCATGAATCAACAATCATTGTTAGATTGCCATGAGAAACCTGGAAGCACTGGACGGCGGTTTCATATGAGTATGGGACTGTTCAGCTGCGCGCATTTGTGACCCCTGAGAGCGGAAATCGTAGCCAAGACCTTCGGTTTCGCGTGTAAACGCCTAGACTTTGAACAACTGTGCCTCCGTACAACGGTGTCACTGTAAGGTGTTTGCGCAACCTTACTAGTTGTCCTCGGTAGTTACCGCCTACACCTGACGAGGTTGAACTCCGCAGGTAGCGGCTTATTACTAGAACTCCAAGAATTTAGTCAAGGAGTGAGAGTTATGGAGATTGTTGTTTTACATCGAAATCGTGAATCAATTACGAAACGACCATCCAGTGCTTTACGGTTTCTAATAGTGATCTAACAGTGATTGATTCATGATTTCAAAGAAATATTTCAACAAGTTTCGTTTTTATAAAATCATTTGTGATTGCCAGTCAAAAGTAAATCGTTCCTGAATCGACAGCTAATTAACGCTCATTCTTTCCTCAGCAGATATCCTGCCAACCTTAAACTTTACTTTATCGAATTGTGTCAAGTAATAGGTCGTCTGTCAGTCAGTCAGTTGCAAAATAGAACTTTATACTTATATACATAAGTTCATGTTGCCATACCACATTAGCACAGAGACGCAAATGTCAAATCAAATTCCATAGTGATAGAGATAATAGAGGTATTAATGGTAATGAAGAAGACTAGGGTTTTGAAGGTGTTATTCAGGAAGTATAATTAAGTGAAATAAGGTTAGAAAGACAAAGGTAGAAGTGCTAACGAATCCAGAAGATTAGGATTTGAGAGAGCACAACGAATGGATGCACTTGCGCCATTGCAAACGATTTTGAACCATGTCATTCAAGGTCTGTAACCATTAGTGACTTTCGTTTCGCGGACTCCAACCAGGTAGTCTACATCTACCAACATGACTGAGTCCACTTCTCAGTGACCTCATGGATTTCTGCCATGTTTTGGTTTGACCGCCCCTAGCTTTCTTCCAACCTACTCTTACACCACAAAACATAGCTCGTCGCGGCAGTCGGTGGTTAGGTATTCGTAACACATGTCCCAACCACCTCAACTGATGTAGTTTCAATACTTGATCTATTGATCTGCCATCCTTACCTAGTACTCGATTCCTAACGATAGCATTGCTTACTCCGTTGTCCCAGGATATACGAGCAATGCTTCGGAGATACCTATGATCGAATACTAGTAACCTACGAACATCTTCTACTCTTAACGGCCATGTTTCGCATCCATATAGGAGAACGAAGCGAACTGCTGAGCAGTGCACCCGTCCTTTGATTAGCGAACGGATATCTCGCCTACGCCATAAACGGCGTAAATTGGCAAAAGCCAATCGAGCTTTCTGTACCCGCACTGAAATTTCGTCAGCCACCAGGCTATCAGCGCTGATGAGACTCGCCAAATAAGTGAAGTGGTCAACACGTCGTAAATATTTTATATACTACTCATTTGAATAGATTATGAGACTAATGGACTAATGCTAATCACTACTAAGTATAAAATAAAGTATTGAACATTAAAATCAATTCAATTGATAATCGATCAATATTCAATTGTCAGTTTCAATTGTATACAGTGAATTATTCTTTTACAGTAAAATATGTAAATACTTAACTACTATTTCCTATGACAAGCAATCATTTCCCTAGTTAAATAATTCTTAAATTTATTTTTCTTAAAACGATTTAAACATAAAAAGAAGAGATCTTTATTTGATCCTTCATAAAAAAATTTAATCATCGGACAGCTGAATTTATGAGTTAAATTTTTCTTCTGGTAGAACCCCTAATTACAAGTTGTTCAAAATTCAATATTTTGAAACTTATTGAAATCTATTACAAGCTCATTTAAACAAATTCAGTCAGAAAAAAACTAGTGTACGAAATTCAATAACCGAATTTTACGGATTTCAAAAGATACAGTTTCACTTATTTATTTCATATAAATTTAATTTGTACTAAACAAATTTTAAATGAACCGCTTTAGTTAATAGGTAATCTTGTAGTGAACGAGAACACAGGTGGGGCAACCAAATTGTATTTAACGCAAATTACAGAGTTACTCAGTAAAATCGGAATAGCATATCGTAAATCGTTCATTTGCAAAATATCAGTTCATCATATCGAACTGTTGCAAAACATCAATCCATTGTCACTACTATTCATGCATTTCATACAAATTCCATTGTTTTCTAACTCTTCCTTTCTTGACCTTCCCCCATCTTCTGCTGCCAGACATTACGTTGACGCTCACGTCATATACTACTTATAAGTAGCTCACACCGCACTCTGTGCCATTTTTGTTTTAATATCTTAACTCTCATATCTACTCGAACAGTGAAATTTTCAAAAAAAAAGAATTCGGGAATAATTAGCTGATAAATTTTTTTATGAACCTTTTTTCAGTGCAAAAATCCGTTTCATAACATTAATAAAAGTGCATTACAGAGGTTGTGAAGATTGTTAAGTCACACATTTTTGAAACTATAAATCGATCAATGTTAGACCACCATTCGAAGAAAGCTGGAAGCACTGGACGGTCGTTTCGTCCTGGTATGGGACTCATCAGTTACAGTGCGCATCCACGACTCCTGCACCCCGCAGGACTGGAACCCAGGACCTTCGGTATTGTGCGCGAATGCCCTAACCGTTAGACCACTGAGCCGGTATCTAACGGTGTTAATGTCTAACTTGATCAAATTCACGGAGTTGCGCAACCTCATACACAGTCTTCGGTAGTTACTGTCTACACCCGAACAGATTGAACTTAACTGGTCACGTTTTCCCACTAGAACTCGGAGAATCCTGCGGGGTGCAGGAGTCGTGGATGCGCACTGTAACTGATGAGTCCCATACCAGGACGAAACGGCCGTCCTGTGCTTCCAGGTTTCTAATGATGGTCTAACATTGATTGATTCATAGTTTCAAAAAATTAATAAAAATGTTGAATTATAGGAAACCAAAAATTAAATTAAATTAATTTATTTATTCGAAAATTCATAATATACACCTAATTTCTCTTCAGCAATAATTTGTACTATGAAATGTATTCATCTGATTTGTTTTTCATTCAATCTCTATCTAGATTAAAACAAGTACTAATTATAATGATTGTCAAATAGTTATTTATTCACAAAGACAAAAATCTTTTTTTTTTTCATATATACACATTTTCACGTTCAACTGAACTTTACACGTGTATTATACATTAGTAAATAGGCGTAAACGACCTTATCAGAGAGAGAGAGAGT